TTTTTTTTTTTTTTTTTTGGCTGCGTTGGGTCTCCGTTGCTGCACACAGGCTTTCTCTACTTGTGGCGAGCAGGGGCTACTCTTCGTTGCGGTGTGCGGGCTTCTCATTGCGGTGGCTTCTCTTGTTGCAGAACACGGGCTCTAGGCACACGGGCTACAGTAGTTGCAGCATGCGGGCTCAGTAGTTGTAGCTCACGGGCTCTAGAGTGCAGGCTCAGTAGTTGTGGTCCACGGGCTTAGTTGCTCTGCGGCATGTGGGATCTTCCCGGACCAGGGATCGAACCCGTGTCCCCTGCACCGGCAGGCGGATTCCTAACCATTGCGCCACCAGGGAAGTCCCAAACATTCATTCATCCATTCATCTGGCTGCGCCGGGTCTTAGTTGCAGCATGCAGGATCTAGTCCCCTGACCAGGGATCAAATCTGGGCCCCCTGCATTGGGAGCGCAGAGTCTTAACCACTGGACCACCAGGGAAGTCCCTCCATACTGTGTAGTTTTTTTTTTTTTGTGGTATGCGGGCCTCTCACTGCTGTGGCCTCTCCCGTTGCGGAGCACAGGCTCTGGACGCGCAGGCTCAGCGGCCATGGCTCACGGGCCCAGCCGCTCCGCGGCACGTGGGATCCTCCTGGACCGGGGCATGAACCCACATCCCCTGCATCGGCAGGCGGACTCTCAACCACTGCGCCACCAGGGAAGCCCATACTGTGTAGTTTTAATTTGCATTTCCCTTATGATGAGTTAGGTTCAGCATCTTTCATCTGCTTAAATTGACATTTCCTTTTCTATAAACTGTCTCCTCATATCATTTGCCCTTTTTGCTGTGAGGTTTGCTTTTTGCTTATTAACTTGCAGGAGCTCTTTATAGATTTGGAAAATGAGGCCTTTGGCTGATGAACTGCAAATCATCCTTCCTAGTTGTCATTCATCTTTTGACTTTGCTTGCTGTATTTTTGCCACAGGAATTTTTTTATCCTTAAGGATTTTTTATGCTTAGGGATTCTGTCATCTCTTATGGCTCCTGGGTTTCGTGTCAGAAAAGTCTTTCCCACTCCAAGATTATAAAAAATTTCCCTGTGGTATCATTTGGTAATTATGTTCCTACTTTTTTTAACATTTAACTTTGTTGTCCTTTTGGAAGTTATTTTAGGGTACAATGTGATCTTACTTTGTGCTTTTCAGATGGCTTCTCAGTCCCAGCTCTCTGTTGAGTAATCTGTCCTTTCCACTCTAATTTGAGATGCCATTTTTATCATATACTAAATATTTTTATGTATTTAGATCTGTTTCTAAGCTTTTTATTTACTTTCATTTATCTCTCTGGTCCTATACCAGTACCATACTTAATGCTATATAGTTTTTTTGTTTTTGTTTTTGGTTTTTTTTGCGGTACACGGGCCTCTCACTGTTGTGGCCTCTCCCGTTGCGGAGCACAGGGTCTGGACGCACAGGCTCAGCGGCCATGGCTCACGGGCCCAGCCGCTCCGCAGCATGTGGGATCCTCCCGGGCCGGAGCACGAACCCGTGTCCCCTGCATCGGCAGGCGGACTCTCAACCACTGCGCCACCAGGGAAGCCCCAATGCTATATAGTTTTATGCTATGTTTTCATCACAATCTTTATTCTGAGAGTCTCCAGTTCCCCCTGAATCCTGAGGAGGGGAGGGCTGGAGGACAGAGGGCCTCTGGGCAGTGCGGGGAGGGAGCTGCTTGCGGCAGGCTGGGTACTGTGAGTGGATCTAGATGTCCACTTGGGGCCCTTCCCCCTCCTCCCCGGTCCTCCCAAAGCTCCTATTTCCCAGAAACCCCTCCCAGGTGAGCCTCCAGGGGTCCAGGACGTGAAGAAGAAGGTGGAAGGGTACTTGGGGGCTTTGAAGTAAATAGGAGGTGGTATCCCTGAGATACCCCCCCTCCTACCCCACCTACCACCCCAGCATCAGTTCAGGTGCCACCGCTGTGAGGGGCTTTGATCACAGCTCCCACCTCCCTAGGCCGTCCCCATCAGCACCCCCCGTGAATCCAGACTTCCTTCCAAACAACCGGCCCAGGCTCCACAGTTCTTCCTGGTGTCTAGCCTCTATCCCTCTAGTTGCGGTTTAGGAAGGCACATTCATGCTGCGTGTCAGGTACGGTGCCACAACCATCATTTATTGGGTTACATGTGAGGGGCTTTCCACACTGTATTTCATTTACTGCTTGAAATAATCCTGTTTATTTGATATTATGTCCACTTTAAAAAATTATTCCACTAACATTTAGTAAGCACTCATTATTTTGGTGCCAGCCATGGTGCTGAGCATTTCTCTTGCATTTTCTCATTTATCTTTCCAAATCCCTTTCAGGTAGGCGCTCAGTCTCCCAATTTCACAGCTCAGGAAACATGCTTTGAGAAGTTAACCACCCCCATTAGGCACAGTCACCGAGGGATGTGACATAAGTGGGTCCCTGAACCCTGGGCCAATCTACCACTTAGACCACAGAACCCAGATTCCAGCTACCCCCGCCGACCTGTCGGCAGAGCTGGTTTCCAACTCCTCCGGGTCCCAGCACCCGGGCAAGGCTCACTGAATGAACGGACGTAGCTCCCGTATCCTCCACCCCTCCTGCTGTCGTCACAAACCACAGTGCCTCCAGCACAGAAAACCCGAGACCGCTTTCTCAGAGGCTTCCCCTGGGCCTTCTGGGTGGGATGTATCCTTTCCAGTCAGACTTGAGGAAGGGTGGTAGAGTTGCTGGGAGCCAGCGCTGTTATCGTGGCTTAAGGACACGGCGTGTGTGGGGAAATCCCACAGAACTTGACCACTGCAGTAATGCTGTGGAGCATAAGGTTGCCACTACAGCCACTGCAGGATTCAGAGAGGATAAAATTTTTCACTGCATTAGGATCCTTGGAAATCAGTTTTATTACAAGTATTTCCACTAGCAGTTAAATACTGTGATAAAATGCTCAGAGGTGACCCTTCAGAGATGCTTGCTATGGCCTGGAGGGCAGCAGGGGGCAGGGAGCCTGTGTGTTGGGCTGGGGGGGTTGGGAGGATGCTCAGGAATGGTTAGGACACTCATGGGCTCCCTCCACTGCAGTGTGACATCCCAGAAAGAGCACGACCTCCGAGACGGGCAGAATGGGGTTTGCTTCTGAATCTGCCCCCCTTCAAAGCTACGTGACCAAGCAAACCCTGAGGCTCTCTGAGCCCCATTTTCCTATGTGTAAAATGAAGACGGTAACATCTCAGCTGGGATTTTACGAGGATAAACATGAGCAAGCGGAGTGCCTCCCGCAGAGCCAGGCACACTTGGGCCCTCTATGCACCTTCGTGTCTCTCATTCCCGTGTCCTCTGGACCGGCACGTCACAGTCCGTAAGAGCTCCTATCTGTCTCAGCCTTATTACTGCTTCTTATTGGAACATTTGTTTCCAGGCTGATGGGCTGGAACGACAAACCTCCAAAGGCAAACTTAATCCCAGACGGGGATGAATCTTCCCTGCCTGGCAGGGAACGAAGATGGATCAGCCTCTGTCTCTGGCCTGACGAGCTAGAAACTCAATTTAGAGCTTGTTTGGTCGTTAGAGGGCTCTCACAATGCTGCTGCCTCCAGGAGAGACACTGTCAGAAGAAAAAGAAGGCGAGAGCCCTGCTGGCAAAGAGAGCAGCTGGGAGCAGGCAGTAGGAAGTCAGGAGGGCCGGATGTGGCGGTCTTGGCAGGCGCCTATGGAGAGGGGCTGCGGAAGGCTTCGGGGTAGAGGTGTGAGCTGAGTTTTACGAGGCAGGCCTGGCGGTGTGGAGAGCTTGGGCAGAGTGAGATCCAGGGCCCAAGGCAGGGACCCTGGGGGGCTGAGTAACCAGAAACCAGGCATTACTTAGTTTGGGGGAGCGTCTTATGTTACATGACACACTTCAGATCCCATCCGTCCCCAGAGCTTTCCGTCCCAGGAAGGTTCCATCTGGTGTTCCGTCAGAGCTGCACTCCTCACTTCCTCTGGGAGGGCAGCTCCCATAACACATTAGAGGCTGGAAGCTAGGAGGCTGAGGCTGAGAGCAGGCCTTGGCAACGGGGCGTGTGGGGCAGACCCCTGCCTCACCTCTGCTCGCTGTAGCCTGAAGGCCAGGCTGGGTGTCAGCCTCCTGCGGGGGGCCTGGCTCCTCAGCCTGCTGCCCTGCAACCTGGGCAGGTCCCCCTGTGCCCCATCTCCTGGGGAGCCTTGGTCTCCTCACCTGTCACGCTGGATGAAAGGTGGCTGGGCAAGGCCTGGGACGGGACCTGCTGGGCTCAGGGAGGCCCCCCATTTGCCGAGTGTATTCCCTCCTCACACCCTGAGCCCTGGGGCCATGCCCCACCTTAGCCCAGCTCCAGCCCACCTGTCTTCTCTCCACCCTCCCTTCTATTTCTCCTGCGGTCCCTTCTTCACTGGGTCCACCTGCCTTCTCCTGCCTCTGCTCCTCTCACTGTCCTCTGCACGGCTGCCTCTGGCTTTCTTCCAGTGCCTGCCTCTGCCCTGCTTTGTCCGTCTCTCTTGTACTCTCTACTCTCCCCTTTCCGCCTCTCAGCCTCTCGCTCCGTCTCTCTACCTTTGCTCTCCCTCTCAGACACACTGGGGACCCTTGGGCCGATGGGGCTCTGACACTGCCCTGACCCTCTGGTGGCTCTTCCCCTTCCAGATGGGGCTGGTGGCCATCCTGGTGGCTACGGTGGTGGCCATGTCAGCTGTGGCCCAGCTGTGGGAGGACGAGTGGGAGGTGCTGCTTATCTCCCTGCAGGTGAGTGGGGGTGGGGACGGGGTGGCTGCTTCCCCAGGACCCTCAAAACAAGACAGTGCCTTTATGGTCACTCCCGTTTCTCTAGATCAAGGTCCAGAGGAAGTAGGGAGGGGTCCACACCACATAGCAACTCAGAGGCGGGGAGGGTGCTACAATCCGGGGTACCTGGACTCCCAGTTTCCTCCACTGAAAAATGGAGACACTTTCCTGCCCCGTGGATAGAGACAGGCCGTAAGGACGTTGATAACCAGAGGGTCTGGGCACAGCTGGGAGCCAGCAGTCTCTCTTGTCCCTTCCTGCACACAAGGGCACAGCGCCATTCCTGCACATGGGGGCCCTGGTCGCCATCACTGCGCTCTCCTGGATCGTGGCAGGACAGTTTGCCCGCGCAGAGCGATCCTGTAAGTATGACTGGGCAGGACCTACCCTCCGTGTGCTCCAAGTACCAAGGCCAGCTTGTCCTGCCCCCGCCTGGACGTTACCTAGGTAGCCTGGGGATGTGGCGCGGCCCTTGCTCTCAGTGTGGGGAGTCCCAGTTCACAGTCCCGGCCTGCAGGTTCCACAGAGGTTGCAGCCTCGGCCTTGCGTGTTTCCTCCTCTGTGTCTCTACATGTGTGTGTGACTTAGAGGCCAGGTTCACCTTCCTAGCAAGAATGGGGGGTCCTCTTGGTGCAGGGTCCCCTCAAAGCATCTGGGTCCTGACAAGTAGAGGGAGGAGGGGTCCAGCACACCCTGCCAAGCTGCCCGGGGCTCATGGTTGGGCCCATGTCTGCAGCCTCCCAGATGGCCATTCTCGGTACCTTCTTCACCGTGGTGTTTGCCCTCTACCTGGCCCCTCTCACCATCTCCTCTCCCTGCATCATGGAGAAAAAGGACCTGGGCCCCAAACCTGCCCTCATCGGCCACCGCGGGGCCCCCATGGTGAGTGCCACTTGTGGGCCCTAAAGACTGGGGTGAGGGGTGGGTGGAGCTGCCATTGCAGAGGGGAGACAGGCAAAAAACCTAAAACCTATCTCCTTGTAGGGAGGAGCTTGCAGGGAAATGTATATAATACACGTAATCTAATAATAGCCACAAGTTTTAGCCCTTTTTGGTGGTGGTGGTGTTGGGGGGTGGGCGTGGGAGGGGTTTAATGGAAAGGGTTGGTGAAAAGGCTGGAGAGTTTCAATGGTATCAAGTCCTGAAGAGCCCGAAGGCATCTGGTTTGAAAGATTTCACTTTCATCCTGAGGGCCCTGGAGAGATGCAGGAGGGTTTTAGGCCAGGCCCAGATACTGCCAGGTTGTAGGTTAGGAAGGCCCAGGAGAGAGAGAGATGCTGGGTGTGGGGAGGGGAGCAGGGCCCAGGGGCTGGGACAGAGCAGCAGAAAAACCCTCCAGGCTATGCAGGCAAGAGAGCTGGGTGCAGCTGCAAACCCACTGCTAAAGGAAAACATTTGCACCGGGTGGGACGGAGAGTGGAAGGAGTCAGAGTCAGCACCTGCTCCTTCTCTGCCACCCCTGTGACCCCGCAGTAGGCCCTCCCCTCGAGGGAGTATGCACCAGAGCCAGGCTTCCAGGCCCCGTGGCAGCTGTGGGAGGCAGGGCCTATTCTATCTCCTCTGTGCCTAGTTTGCTCATCTTGTCCCCTGGGATGATGGGAGTGTCTGCACCGTATGGCCACAGGAAGCAAGAGTTAGCATGTGTGATGTGCCCAGATATGAGTCTGGCTCACAGAAAGTAAGAGTTATGCTTTCCTGTTACCTCGGGCAAGCCCTCCTGCTTCTCTAGACTGGGTTTCCTGACCTACGAAAGCCTTGAACTTTGGTTCTCAACTGATGCAGTACCACTCACCACCACCAGGGGGCACTTGAGGGCTCTATGAGAGCTTTTTCTTGGTTGTGGCAGTAGTTGGGAGTTCCATGGTATCGCTGAATTTCAGGGTAGTCTAGGGGGCCTCACGAAGTAAGCATTTAAAGGAGGCGTCACGTCGGACAGGGCTGCAAATCACCATTATTGTGCCCATTTCCTAGATAAGGCTCAGAGACCTGTGCCCCTGAGCTGGACCCTGGTGCCCTCCCATCACACCCCATGCTGCTCCTGGCACCTCCTGGAGGCAACCAGCTAGAAAGGCCATGGTTTTTGGAGTCAGAGGATCTGGATTTGGGGTCCAATCTTACCACATGCTGCCCATGTGTCTGGCGGGTTGCTGGTCCCCTCAAGGCCTCCCTGCTGATGGCTTTTGTAAGGATAAATTAGGAGGACAGCCTTCCAGGAGGCAGGGCCCCATATTATAGCTGCTTTTCTTTCCATGACCCGTATTACCCACCCCACCTGCTCTGGAGGCCACAGGACAAGAGGGTGGGGTGTGCTGAGGCAGGAAGCGGGGGCAAAGGGAAGGAGTGGGGTGGCCCCATGTGGATTGTTGTTTTAGCAGAAAGATTTCAAGCATTCACAGAAGGGGAATGAATAGTATAATGAATCCAACACCACCTTCACCATTTATCAACATTTTGCCATTCTTGTTTCATCTATCGCCCTGCTTTGTCTTTTTTGAAAGCAAATCCCAGGTATTGTATCATTTTATCCATGCTTACTTCAGGATGTATCTCTAATGCATAAAGACCTTAAAAACAGAACTACACCACACTGCCACTATTACACCTAACCAAATTAATAATCATTCCTTAATACTATCTAATACTGAATCAGTGTTCAGCTTTACTTTGTCTCAAAAATATCTCTTTATAATTGAGTTGTGAAAAATCAGAATCCAAACAGAGTCCGTGTGGTACAGCTGGCTGGGATGTCTTCTAAGTATCTTTTAGTCTATAATAATCTCCCTCCCTTTTTTTCCCCATATGCTGTTTATTTGTTGAAGAAACTGAGTCATTTGTCCTGTAGAATTTCTCCCATTGTGCATCTGGCTGATTGCATTCTGGTGGTGGCCCTTGAGGGGCTGGTGTGGGTGTCGGACACAAGTCCTCCCTGTGTCACTGTGAATGCATGAGTACCAGTGTCTACACCTGTATGTCTGCCTGTGGGAGGTTTTGACTCTGGGTCCACACATCTGTGTGTGGTAAGCCCAGGTGCTCATCCCTGTCTTGGAGATGGTATCTGTGTGCCCTGGACGGGGGTGTCCTTCCTATGTGGGTAGCCTGTGTGCATACTTTAATATTTGGTCAGACTGACTCCAAAGTTGGGCCTCTTAACCACAGTGGTCTACCACCATGAGTCTGTGACGACCACGCCCACACATGCACACTTCTGACAATACAGCCCTATCTGCCTTTAGGCCTGAGGCAGTAGCAACCCTCTTTCTTAAGGAGGCCAGCACCTAACACAGGGAGATCTGAGTTTAAAAAGCCTCCAGAAAAGAGGTTTTGCCCCTCCCAAACACTTCCTCCTTCCCGCAAGGGCCTTCATGGCCCCTGCTACGCTCTTTGTGTCTACCCCCAGTCTACCTTCTGCCATGTGGGAGGGGGGCGTTGGTACCTCTCTGGTGGTCACTTGTGGGATGCCTGGCCACAGGGCATTTAGAGGTGACTGAGCAGGAACCCCACCGAGTCCACACCTGGACGCCTCTGTGGGGTCTCACCCAGCCCACTTGATCGGGAGACAAGGCAGCATATCCCCCAAGGCTGCTCTGCCCTGCAGAAAGGGGAAGAAAGGAACTCACATTTCAGAGACTGCTGACGTCTGTTACCTCAGCTATGAGCTTGGTAATATTAGTCCATTTTATAGCTAAAGAAACCGAGGTCCAGAGGGTGAGGTGTGATGGGCCCAGGTTGGTGACTGGGAAGGGGAATTGCTCCTTCTCAGCTTCAAAGCCCTTGCCATGCCAGGCCGCTTCCCAGACGAGGGGAGTGTGTTACATGCTGGGGAACAGCATGGCCGGAGGAAGAGAAGATGGGAATGAGCATGTCTTGGTGAGAATGGGATGAGCCATGGGAGCCCTTTCCACCCATCCCTCACTGCCAGAAGTCTTCCCTGTCTTGCATCCCGCACTGCACATGGTCCTAGCCCAATCCTTGGTATGGTGCTGACCCCTAGTGGCAGCAAAGGGCATGACAGGATCACCAGACCAAACAACTAGGGAGACTCGGAACCCCAACTCCCCCAACTGGAAGGATACTCAGAGAACAGTGTACATACACCGCCAAAGACCAGATGGGGAAACTGAGGCCCATAGGATAAAGAGATGCACCAAAGGTCACAAACCTAGTTAATGGCAGATTCAGGCCTAGAACTAGGATTTTCTGATGTGTATGCTATAGGGTAACAGTTGTCATTTGTTAAGCACTTACTCTATATCAGGCAACGTGCTAGGGGCTTTTAATCCTTATAACAGTCTAGGAGATGGTCTTGTCATGTCTGTATAGATGAAGAAACCAGTCACCCCACTGAAACTCTGCCATGCTGTCTACCCTGTCCTCTCCCTTGGGGATCTCCACCTGGACTCAAGGTATAACCAGGAGGAAACTTGGCATTCAGCCCAGCCCAAGACTGCATAGAGGCAGAAGACTGTAAAAAAGCCCTCCACCCCCGACATTTATATACATCAACACTAACCATCCCTGCTTCTCTCTCACCACCACCAAAAAAATCTATGAGGTAGGCATGATTTAACAGATGAGGAAACGGAGCTTCAGAGAAGCTGTGTGGATGCCCAGGGCTCCACAGCTACTGCTTAGAGGAGTGGAATTAGAACCGGGTCTACCCCAGCCTCCCAACGTGGAAGAGTTTCTGTGGGTCGGGGAGCGGTGCTTGAGCTAAAGCTTGGCTCTCCCTCACCACCACCTTCCTCCCCAGCTGGCCCCAGAGCACACGCTGATGTCCTTCAGGAAGGCCCTAGAGCAGAAGCTGTACGGACTCCAGGCTGACGTCACCATCAGGTAAGCGTGGGGCTTGGGAGGACAGCACCTCTTTTCCTCCTCGATGCAACCACACCCGGGTTTCTGCTGGAGACACGTCTGGTCCCAGAGTCTTAGAGATGGGAGAGCGGAGGCTTGGATTATCCACTGCAGGGCAGGCACCATGTTTATGCAAATAGATTTTGTGCCATACTCCAGGATATAAAATAGAGAAAAAAACAGACACCTGATTCAAGCAGGGTGGAGGTAGGGACCTGGAGTCCTGCCACAGATCCACTTAATGGAAAGACTAGCTCTGTACGGCTCAGCAAAATGGAGCGCAAACACTCTGATGAGTGGAATCAGCAAGGTGCAGAGTGATACGTTCACAGTGATGTCAATTATACTTTTAAAGACCACATAAAAGTGATCTATACAATTTCTACATGTAGATTGTAAGTATGCGTTTGTAAAAAGGGCAAGAAGTGTCCATACTGATCTGATAACATCATGTCTGAGAAGCGGAGGGGGGCAGGGTACTGAACAGGGGTACCACGGTGTGAGGATACCATTCCCATTGTAGACATTATAGAATTGTGTGTTTATCAAAGCTTTCTAGCAGGTGGTAGAAAAATGCCTTGAGGAGGGGTAGCACAGGTGCCTTTTACTGTTTCACGCTAAGGCACCTTATGGGGCTACTGGCAGCCCCAGCGGAGTGGGGTAGACCGGGATGATACCAGGGTGGAACTTGTCAAAGGGGCCTGCATTTGCACTCTTCTCATTATGGCATCACGTGGACTGCGTTCTAAGCCAGGTTCCACCACTTACTGGCTGGTAGGCCTTGAGTTTGATACTTCTGTCTCCAGCCTCAGTTTCCCTATTATTAAATGAGATAGCCTCTACCTCCCAGGGCTGCTGAGAGAATACGCTCAGCCCTCCCTCCTCAGCAGTGCCCACCCCCATCTGACCCTCAGAGAGAGCCGAGGGATTCACTTACTGCCCACTGACTTCCCTGTGCAGACGGGGAACCTGAGGCCCAAAGAGGGGCAGAGCGGGCCTGGGTCCCTAGGTGGGCTGGTGTAAGTGGGTGGGGAGGAGCGGGCGAGGGACCTGGGTGGGCAGTGACTCCGCAGCCCCACCCTCCCACAGCCTGGACGGCGTGCCCTTCCTCATGCACGACGCCACCCTGCGCCGCACCACCAACGTGGAGGAGGAATTCCCGGAGCTCGCCCAGAGGCCCGCCTCCATGCTCAACTGGACCCTGCTGCAGAGGCTCAACGCTGGCCAGTGGTTCCTGAAGGTCTGGCAGCACCCGTCCCAGTCCTAGGCATGGAAAGCATGGTCAGGGACTCCATGGTGAGGGCCAGGGGCAGCCCTCAGCTCAGGTGACCTTCACATGCCGAGCTTCCTTGACTCACAGCCAGGCTGGTTGGCGGCCTCCTTGGGCTCCTGCCACTGCAGCCCAGCTGTCATGGTTGTCACTACTTGTTCTGGTTCTGCCTCCCCTACCAGAAAAAGTTGATTTTGATTATAATAGTTAATAGCTAAAATTGTTAACACTGTAAAACTCTAGAGGAAGTTGGTTCTCTGGTCTGAAGTGCTACTGAGAGAAAAACGGACTGGGGTCTGGGATATGTTCCAAGCAAATCATTCTTTTGGCAAGCAGACTGGGATAGAGAGGTTATGGTTGGGTTCTCCTAGAGGTCCCAAAGGGCCCCAGCCTTCAATGTGCCTGACTTGCACACACCAGCCGACACTGGCAGTTCGGTCGTCTCCAAGTTCCATAGCCAGGAAGGCATGTGGAGGCCCCATAGGACTGGTGAGACAAACATGTGTGTCCCTGTCTCTGCCAGACGGACCCCTTCTGGACGGCCAGTTCCCTGTCACTGTCCGACCACAGGGAGGCCCAAAACCAGTCCATCTGCAGCCTAATGGAACTCTTGGAGCTGGCCAAGGGCAATGCCACGTTGCTGCTCAACCTGCGTGACCCGCCGCGGGAGCACCCCTACCGCGGCAGCTTCCTCAACGTCACGCTGGAGGCCGTGCTGCACTCCGGCTTCCCCCAGCACCAGGTGAGGCCCTGCAGCCCAGCCCCACCCAGCTCTGTCCCCAAGGAGCTGAGCTCCGCCCAGCCCTGCCCCACCCGCAGGGAGACCAGGCCTGCCTGGAGTCCCGCTCACGCAGTAAACTCACCGTGTCCCCTCTCCAGACCTTAGGGTTCCACATTTGTGAAATGAGGGTAGCATGCCCCACGCCTCCCTGACAGGGTCATCATGGGGCCAAGAGGGAAATAAGAAAAGCGTTTAAAATGTACAAAAGAAAAAAAAAATGTACAAAGGGCAGGAGCAGGGCCAGATTCTTCAGAACATGGTACTTCCATGAAGTGTTACCTACGTGATACCTGGGGATCAGAAAAATACGATTTCAACTATGAGAGCACACAAGACGCTGGTGGCCACATGCACAGTAGCTGACATTTGGGGCCTTATCGGTCTTGTCCTGACTAGGGTCTGGAGGGGGATCTTCCTGAGGTGTTGCCAAAGCAATTCCCAGCCATGGCTGGGACCAAGTCATCCCCCGGAGGTGGTTACTACCTGAAAGCTTTCACTGCGTGCCAGGTCCCGCCTCTTTTAACCCCTCCAGGTGCTCCACGAGGGACAGACACCCTAACCCCATTGTATAGAAGGGAAATCAGAGGCAGCTCCTCTCCTGCTTGCAGGTCCTGTGGCTGCCTAACAGGCAGAGGCCCTTCGTGCAGAAGGTGGCTCCTGGCTTCCAGCAGACATCGGGCTCCAAGGAGGCAGCTGCCAGCCTGCGGAGAGGCCACATCCAGCGGCTGAACCTGCGCTACACTCAGGTGTCCCGCCAGGAGCTCAGGTGCCCACCCCATCCTGCCCAGGCTCACCCAGAGGACTGGACACACAGGCTCAGGGTTCAAAGAGGAGAGGTTGAGAACATCAGGCAGACCTGGGTTTGTATGTGAGCTTGGCCCTCTGAGAGCGGAGTTTCCTTCCTCCAGGGACAGTTTTGAGGACGGCGTGAGGTTGTGAAGGGCCATGCTTTACAGGCTTCCCACACTGGCCAAAGGGCCGACCAGCCTCTGTCCCTGCCCCACAGGGACTATGCATCCTGGAACCTGAGCGTGAACCTCTACACAGTCAATGCCCCGTGGCTCTTCTCCCTGCTGTGGTGCGCAGGGGTCCCGTCTGTCACCTCTGACAACTCCCACACCTTATCCCAGGTGCCCTCCCCCCTCTGGATCATGGTGAGTTGGGGATTGTTGGGGGTCCAGGGAGCTGCCTATGGCTTCCAGGGCTGGGGGGCAGGCTCCACACCCGGGCTCCCTCTAGTGAGGTCTCAGGGGTGGGGGGAGCACCTGAGGGGACAGGCTTGAGGCATGAAGAAGATTCTCCTGACCTCTGGGCCTGCACCAAGGTCTGGGGGTAGGAGGAACCTTGGCCTGAGCCACATGGGGAAAAACACCAAAGGCTCTAGACAAATAAACAACTACTTGGGTTTGGGGGGGTTTGGAGATTATTGTTTTGTTTTAAAGGAAGGGAAGTCATTGGGAAAAGAGGGCAACGAGGCAAAAATAGGGAACATTAAAATCTTCTCAGAGATTACAGCCAATAAAACCAGCTTTCAGTTGGTTGACCGACTGAGCACCTGAAGACAGGCCTGTGTTCCAGTCCCAGCTCTGCCAACCAGGGGGCTTGGGGAGCCCTTGACCTCCCTCCTGTGCTCCCACTGCCACTTCCCTGAGGTCATGAAAGGCAGATGGAGGGTCTCATTATGGCTAAGATGATGCCGTGTCAGTGAATCAGATCTAGGTTTTGGGTGGTTAGCTCCATCCCCGCCCATTGTCTTTTAAAACCTCTGAGGGCTCAGCTCGGACTGAGATGAAATAACTGACTGGCAGCAGTAGCTATGAGCACACTCTGATTCAGGCCACAGGAACTGACCAACAGCAAAAAGTGCCCTAGCCCACCTCCACAGTTTACCTGAGATCAAGGGGGTGTGAGGCCTGGCTGCTCTGCAGGCTTCACCCTGCTGGGCCCCTCTCTATGGCCCCCTGGAGGGGAAGCTCCCACACTCCGCACCCTACAATGACATGTACTCTTACATGCACATGGATGCCACATACCTCTTCACATACCCACCTGCGCACCTGCTTGTCACGTCACACCCTCTCATTCATCTATCTGTCTTTCATATTTTGGTTCTTGCATTAAGCCCCTTTAAGCACATAAATCCTCTAGGCTTAAAACACACCACCTCTACAGTGAACACTGCACAGATCTCTTTTATCCTACACACACACCCCACCCCAAACCCCAGGCCCACTCCTACAAAATATAATCTCAAGCCCCCAAGCCCCCTCCAGGTCCTCCTCTGCCCCTCCCTGATGGTGACGTGCGATTCTCCTGCCCATGGGCCCTTGGTCTGGAGCCCTGGTCTGGACCAGCCGTGACTGGAAGCTGGTTGTGGGCCATCTGTCCACAGCCCCCGGACGAGTACTGTCTCATGTGGGTCACCGCCGACCTGATCTCCTTCATCCTGATCGTTGGCATCTTCGTGCTCCAGAAGTGAGTAGGCCCTGACCACCTTCCGCGGCCCTCCCTGCCTGAGATGGGCCAGCTCCCGCCCCCAGCCAGGTGAACGCCCTCCTGAGCCCTGGGCCGGGAGATGTCCTGGCCAGACCACCCTGTTCAGGGGAGAAGAAGGCCTCCCTGTGGCCCCCAGCCCGTCCCCCTCAGCCAGAGCCCAGTGGCTTCTGGAATGAGCACCCAGCCGGGAGCCCAGAGCCAAGCTGGGCCAGGATGTGCTGTGTAGACTCTTTGGTGAGTTTCAGCTCCAGGGGGCGCTCCTCTCTAGGCTTGTCTCCCTGCCTGTCACCCAGGGCACAGGTTTCCACAGCACTCGGGCCGGGCTCAGACCTCCCCACCTACCCTCCAGGACGACAGCTGGGGGTGGTGGTCACAGTGGGAGTGGGTGGGTCCTGGGGAGGATTTAGGGCCAGGCGGGGCCCCAACCCAGCCATGAAGTAGCAGGCTGGGTTTTACTCTTGACTGATGTTCTCTCTCTGTCCCATACTGCTCTGATCCGGCGCATGTCCCTCCTCTCTCTCCCCCCTCCCCACTCTCTGCTGCACTCTGGCATCTCACAGCTATCACTTGATCAGGTAATTCTGGTGTGGTCCTCCTCCTGTTCCTCTCTCTCCCTCCTTCTCGCCGCCCCCTCTCCACCTCCCTCTGAAAGGCTGCCTCCTGAGGAGCCCTAGGCCCAGGTCACCCTCCCATACACCTCCCCTGCCTGAAGCCGCCTTCCCATCCTTGCTCTCGTCCTCTCCCCTGCAGTCCTCCCTTCTCTCTCCCCACCTTGCCGTGTGTGTCCCTCTGCTCTCTCTCCCTCCCGCAGACAGGGAACCAGCATTTCCTTGCAGGTTGCTGACCTGGCCTCTCTCAGCACCAGAGCGTCTCCCTCTGGGGAGGGGCTCTGCTTGGGCCACCCCCCACAGCCTGGCACTTTGGGCAAGGCCTTCCCCAGTGCCCGGCGCACAGCCTACCAAGTTCTGTTTCTCCCTGCCACCTGTGGCCCTCCCACTCCCAGTTTGCCTTTCCCCTCGCTCACTCTGTTTATCTTTCTCTCCACATCTCTTCTTTCTTTCACTTTCTGTCTCTGACTCCCACCCCACTGCTCTCCCCCCATGAGCACAGCCTCCCGTACTTTCCCCTGGGAAATACCCCCAGTGGTTGAGCTTCCTGTCCTAGATGTACCTCACTGCAGAGACACGGGCCTGACACTTTCCTCCTGCGTTTAACGTTAATTTCCAAGATGAGACCTTGGTCTTGGGGGTGCAAGTTCCCTTTGGTCAGGTGCCTTGGGCCCTCCTAGGTCAGTCATCTTCACTGACCAGCTTCTAGGAGGAGGAACTCTGTGCTCACTGACTGTGGGACTGAGCCCAGCAAAGGGCCATTTGCCTGGTCCCTCCACCATCCTCTCAGTCGGCAGATGTCCACATGTGCTGGCTGGTGCTGTGCTGGGCCTTCTTCCCCAGGGTGCTCCACCGACACGCTGGGCCACTCAAGATACAGCCAGGGCGGCATCATCGTCTTCCTGGGGGGTCAGGCAAGGCCTGATGGAGGAGAGGACCCTGGGGGAGAAGTTCATTTCCCTGTGGTCCTCATTCTTCCATTCATTCACTCAATGATACTTAGAGCACCCACCACACAGCAGGCATTGGGCTTGGTGCCAGGCACGCAGCGATAAATAAGAGACCCTATTGCTGTTCTCAGGGATGCGTAGGGCGGCCAGCCCAGCCAGAGGTTGCCTTCCCCCCTGCCTCCTGCTTTCCCCTTGTCTGTCTGCTCTGTTCATCCACCTGTCTGCCTGTCCATCTGTCTGTCCATTTCTGCTGTGCTGATCCCATCTGGAAACAACTGATCTCCCGTGGAGTCTGGGCTCCCTCCACCCACTCCAGCAGGGCGTCGGGCCCTGGGGGGTTGGGTTTTTGTTTCCAAGCTGATCCCCACTTCCCTGAGTGGGGCTGGGGGTCCGGTGAGTCCTTCTGTTTAGGTTGCAGGAAGAATCTAAGTTCAGAGGCCAGGGATTTGGGGCTAGTTCAGAGGAACTGTAACAGCAAGAACTGTGCCCTGAGCCGGACGAAGGAACCCAAGTCCTCCCGGCTCTGCCTGGTCCCTGCACGCCCTATGCAGCCCCACCTCTCAGCCCATTCAGTTTTGCTCCCACCTTGCCCCAGCCATTAAAGGGGTAATGCTCCAGCCTGTCCCTCTCCACTAGGGAATATGCACCCCACTCTTCCAGGGCTGTTGGAACAGAGCAGCAGCAGGCCCCTCCCCAAGTCACTCCAGCACCCTTGCCTTGTGATGCCATGAAGACAAGCTCCCCGCTGTCTCCCCTCCCCTCCCTGCTTTCCTTCACTTCCTCTCTGGGGTTCCTCACTGGCTTCACTCAGCCTGGTCCTGATGATGGAGCTGTAGGCGACATCAGCTGGGACTCCCCAAGATTGGTTTGCACTCCAGGGTGGGTCATCAGTCATGCCTGCTAAGCCCCCACCCCCAAATTTGTCCAGGTGTATAACTGGGGGCACCTGACACATACCTAACCAACCCCTAACCATCCTCCTGGGCAAGGGGAACGGATCTAGGGGTCTGGAGGTAAGAGGGCTGGAGAGCCCTGGCTGACAGTCAGCAGACTGATTCAGGCCCCAGCTCTGCCCTACTCTGGGCCTCAGTTTCCCCGTCTGTACAGTCGGACAAGAGTCCTGCTGGTCTCTCAGGCCAAATCCAGAGAGTCTGTGGAAGTGGGAAGGATCCCTTCTCCAAGGAAAGGTGGGGAAGGACCTGATGCCCACGGGGCCATCTCTGCAGGTGGCGCCTGGGTGGCATACGGAGCTACAACCCCGAGCAGATCATGCTGAGTGCCGCGGTGCACCGGACCAGCCGGGACGTCAGCATCATGAAGGAGAAGCTCATCTTTTCAGGTGTGCAGCTCCGCAGACAGGTTGAGTCAGGCTCTGGGCTCTGTCCTCTGCACCCCACATGTGCAGACGGGTGTGTGTGCACACATTTCACACACAGCACATACAGGTAGGGACACGGCACAGACATAAGTATACCCACCTAGCTTCACGCTCACACTGGTACAGGGGCACACATACACACACACACACGGAAATGCATACCCGTCCACATGCAGCCCTCAACTCCAGGTCCTGTGGCTCAGTGTCAGCCCCAGGGGTAGTGGGCAAGGGTGACATGCAGGGGTGGGGGCAGGGCTGGAGGCCCATCCTGCCATGCTGGTTCATACACAGACCCCACAAACGTTGATTCCACCCCTGCTTGCTGCCTGTTGACATTCCCAGATTGATGGAGGAGGCAGCTGTATAAACAAATACATGGAAAGGTAGGTGTCACTGAGCTCTAATAGATGGGGGTGCTGAGCCAGAGTGGGGTACAAGGAGGAGAGAGGGGTTCAGAGTTCCCTGGGGCAGTGAGGAAGGCTTTGGGGCCCACTCTGTGAGGAGGTGATGTAGTTGAAATGGGAAGGAAGGGTAGGAGGGTGACGGGTTTGAGGTGAGGGCTGGGCGAGCAGAGGGAAGGAAGGGCATTCGAGGCAGGAACAGCATGTGTTCAGAGGTAGTGAGGGAGCACTCCTTGCCATGGCTCGAAGGCAGGGCCTCTGGCTGACTCACCCCAAGATGGCGCTGGGGAGGCACTTCGGCCTCAAGTGTGTGGTCAGGAGCTTGGGCTTTGTTCTGAAAGAAGAGGAGGGTAACAGACAGATTTGTCTTTGGTACAGTGGGGCTGTAACAAAGTACCACAAACTGGGTGGCTTAAAAACAGATGTATCGTCTCACAGTTCTGAAAGCTAAGAGTCCATCATCGAGGTGTCAGCAGGGCTGTGAGGGAAAGATCTGGTCCTGGCCTCTCCCGTTGCCTTGTAGATGCATCTCTGTGTCCGAAGTTCCCCTCTTTACAAGGACACCAGTCATTCTGGATTAGGGCCCACTCTAATGACCTCATATTAACTAATTACATCTGCAATGACCTTATTTCCAAAGAGGGTCACATTCTGAAGTGCTGGGGTTTAGGACTTCACTATACGAATTTGGAGGGAACACAATTCAATCTCTCTTTTTTCTTTTTTGTTGGCGCCACAGGGCTTGTGGGATCTTAGTTCCCTGACCGGGGATCGAAACTGTGCCCCCCTGCAGTGGAAGTGCAGAGTCCTAAACACTGAACTGCTAGGGAATTCCCCACAATTCAGTCTCTAACGAGTGTGGAGGGTGGGTTAGAAGGGGAAGCTGGAGGCAAGGAAACCAATAATTCAGATGGGAATTGTGGGAATGGAAACAGGAGAGGAGAGATTTGAGAGATATTTAGAAGCCAGATGGACCTAGATTCAAATCCCAGCTTATCCCCCGAGCTGTGTGAACAAGAGCATATTACCTAACTTCCCTCACCATCAGACTCCTCCTCTGTAAAATGGGCTAGCTCCCCCTCACAGAGTACCTGTGAGGGTTAGTGCCATGCCTGGCCCAGACGGGTGCTTGGTAAATGCTGCCCGAGTGAACCAGAGCCCAGTGGGGGGTGCTTGTGGGTTTAGTGGGGCTGGCTCCAGCGACTGTGTGAACATCCACTCATTTATTCACTCTTTTATTTATCCCTTCCTTCAACAGACGCATGCCAGGCCCTGTGTTAGGTGCTGAGGATACACAGATTCTTGCCTTTGGGGTACTTAATTCCTCCTACCCTCGCTCAAAAACCCTCCTTCTCCTGGGAGCCTTCCCTGAGCACCAAAGCAGGGTTGGAGGGCTTCCCCTGGCCTCCCACAGCTCTCTGGCAACACTGGGGAGCTCCTGGAAGGAGGAGTCCCCAGGCTCCTGTACTGTGCCTGGCCGAGGGAAGTCAGGAGGGGCGGCTAGCATGAATGGCAGGCAGGAGGCCAGCACTTCGGCCTGTCAGGTTCTGCACCTCCCCGGCCCCCGCCTCTCTGTAGGGACAAAGGCCATTCATTTACCTAGCACCTTCTCATCACTGGCCCTGAAGAGTCGCCGCAGGCCTCACCCGCTGCCCACTCCTGGTTGAGAGGTCTTCTCCAGGAACCTTCAGCCCCACCAAGGTGCTCTGAGTCCCCTTGGGGTGTGCTTAGCTCTCCCCTCAGCAGACCTTTTCTAAGCCTCTGCTGTGTGTCCAGGACTGTACCAGCCACTGGGGACACTGATGCCCAGACCTCATCCCTGTCCTTGAAGTACTCCAGCCGATGGGGGCCATAGATGGTGACAATACAGGTGGGGCAGGGGGGAACAGGGTGGTCATGAGGAGGCCCCATCCCAGCCTGGGGGCAAAAACAGAAATGAGAAGAATTTAGCCAGATTTTAAGAAAAGGAAGTGTTATCGGGAGGTCATGCCCAGGAGACAGGCCAACATGTGCAAAGCCCTGAGGAGAGTAAACACATGCGTGCCAAGCTTAAGAGGGTGCAGATAGTTTTCTGTGGCTGGAAGGTGGAGTTCCAGGGAGAGGAGACTGAAGTGCAACCAGAGTGTTTGCAGAGACTGAGAAGGGCCTTGAATGCCAAGCTCAATAGCATACCTGAAACCCGAGGTTTCATTCCTCCTAGTGGCTGACCAGGAGTGGCTCCAGGCCACCCTTTCCCACCGCATCTGCCAGCCATCTATCCACTCCTCTCCTCCCTGCACTCACATTCTGCCTCCTTCTGGCCCAACAGAGATCAGCGATGGCATGGAGGTCTCCGATGAGCTCTCTGTATGTTCAGACAACAGTTATGACACATACGCCAACAGCACCACCTCCCCTATGGGCCCCCAAGGGAGCGGCAGCCGCGCCACGACCCTCACAGACCGGAGTGGGCGTTAGCTGAAGACCCGTCTGTCCAGCCTGTACCTCATGTGGAGACAGGGGAAGCCCACAGAGCTGGAAGAAGCACGCTCTGGGAGCTGGCTCCACAGTCTCCTTGTTGGCTCCAGCCTGTCAGCTTCTCAGATGACCCTGCGGGCCTGGGGCTCCTTTTTCTGGGAAGTTTGGGGCTCGGGACCTGGTCCACTCTCTGAGGCCCTCCCTTGCATCCTGACCGGGAAGCTTTGAAGGGTCACTGGGCCATGCCGTGCCCCCTGCGGCAGTGGAGGACGTAGAGCCTGCGTGTGCCCACGTGTGTCTGTCCTGTCTGTGCTGTGAGGAAACCACCTTCTCTGTGTTTCTCCTGCCTCAAGGGCCTGCGCTAGGCCTCTGCCCCAGCACCTCTGCTCTTCCATCAGTCTCAAAGCACAAGGAAGCTTGGCCCAGGAGCAACGCCTGCTACAGTGGTGGAGACACTCCTCCCCTGCCAGCCTCCTGCTGCCGCTGGCCCTGCCCCAGGAGAGGGTCCGAGCCATATCCCCTAGGAGCAGCTGGAGGTGGCAAGAGCAGGCTCGGGGCTGCTGGATCCACACCCAGGAGATCCACAGACTGACATGACCTCAGGTTCCCACGTCAGTGGCCAAGGGCAGGGGCCACCTGCGAAAAGTGTTATGGCATGGTCAGGGGTGGGTATGTGGCCAAGGAGGCCTTCAGCAGAGGAGCCTGAGGGGCCTCGGCCAAGATGATTAAAGCTGCCATCTTGACACGTGTCATATCTGAATTGTCAGTGGGAGGGTGGGGACAGAGCTTGCTGGGTTTGGGATTCGGGTCCCATGACTGAGGAAGAACCATTCTCAGAAATGAATGGGAGAGTGGCAGGGTGGTGGAGCCCCTCTCCTGCATCACATGGCACGGGGGCTTCCTTAACAGCACTGGGCTTGGGGGCAAGTGTCCCCATGTTGTGGTGGAGGAGACAGTCTTGGAGAGGTAAAGTGACCATCCGGAGCCACACAGCTTAGAAGTGGCAGAGCCAGAATCCCACTCAGGCTGTGTGCCTTCTGTAACCAGCTGGGAATGGTAAGGCAGATGGGGAGGGCTCCCTGGTCCGATGTAGGACTGGGCAGTGGGACGAGCAGGTCCCTTCGTGGCCACATGGAGGCTTTCTGAGATCCCTGGCCTATGGAGGGGCAGGCCCTCAGCCAGGAGTTGCCTCTCCCCCATGGCGGAGGTTCAGCTTTGAAGAGGCCCATTCCCATTCCTGGCACAGTGGGGCACCTGGGCTGAAAGCCAAAATACAGCCCCTGGGACCACAGATGCCCCTGTCTTTCAGTCCTTGGACCTCTGCCCTCTGCCCTCCATGAGAAGGGGTCTGTAAATCCCATCTTTGTCATAAAAGTCTGCATGGTCTTGGGTGTGTCCTAGGGGAAAGGAGGGGGCTGAACCCCAGTTTCTTCCTACATTAAATAAACATGGTGCTTCCTGGGAGCCAAGGGATGTGTCTCTTCTCCAAACAGGGGCCTTCTGGATAGAATTCTTGGGGTCTGGAGCCTTCAGGGAGGAAAGGAAAAGAAACCCCTCCTAATGCTGGAACCCAGACTGGGCCCCCCACATTAACCTCTAGGACTGCCCCTCTGGGAACTATCGGGGGACTCACTCTCCTTTCCCCCTTTCAAACATTTGCCAAGTGCTCCCTTCCTGGGGCAGAGGTCAGCTCCCGGCTCTCCCTGGGCATGAAGAAATGTACGTGAAACCTGGACTGTCCAGGCCAGCAGTGGGGCACACTGCCCTACCCAAATGCCCCAGTAAGCTCCTCTCCAGTGTCTGGCAGGCCTGCCCAGGAAAACGGAACCAATCTTTCATGCTAGCCCCTCCCTATCCAGTCAGTGCCCCTGGGTCCACTGGCTAGCATGTCCCAGGCTCCTGGCTGGCCACACTTGGGCAACTTGAGTCATCCTAGGGTCTTTCAGAAGCAGGGAGAAGGGGCTGGGAGTTCTGAGTGGAACAGCCTGTCGGCATCCCACTCTCACCAGGGCCCTACACTGTACCCCTCCACTCCCCAGTGCAGAGGCAGTCCAGCGGTCTCCCCTCACCCCAAACAATGGAAGGAGGATGGAGGCCATCCCCCAGCTAGGCCGATAGCTGAGCCCTTCACCCTCAGCTGAGCCCACAGCCTGTGGTCAACCCTGGCTCGTGTCCCTTGACCTGAGGAGTTACTGAGAAGGCCACCTTCCCAATGCCCTCCTCGTGACCTCTCCCTGTCTACTGAGGACAGCCTGACTGCCCTTAACAGGGAAACCAGAGACAGGGCCTCTCCCTTATTGCCATCTCCACAGACCCACTCCTTGCTTCCTCCCTTGGACCTTAGGGGGTGAGGCCTCTCCAGGCCGAGCCCAGCCTCCACCTTCGCCAGGGCCCTCCCTGAACCCTCAGCCCCTCTGTTCCAGGTATTTAGGTGCCCAAATCTCTCACATCCTTTAACATACAACAATATATACAATCCCTTTTTAGGGGGAAGCAGGATACACCATTCCCTGGAACACAGTCCCCAGAGCAGACCCTCCCCCAGGCCTCAGGACACATGCTTGGCCGTCATCACAGTGACCCCTCCCATCACTTCTAAGCCTTGCCAGGGGCGGGGACAGGGCGGTTCCTGCAGGATCCCAGCCTCACCGAGTCCACCTGGCAGATGGCTTTCACTTACAAACCCCTCTTGAGTTCACAGCACCTGAGTAAGACAGGCAGAGCAGGAACTATGACTAGACTATTGCTCCTGCCAAGATGAAGAGCTGGGGCTAAGGGAGGCTTAGTGATCTGCCTGGAGCAGCACAGAGAATCCCGGCAGTACCAGTACCACCTCTCAGGTGCCCTGTGCCCATCCGGGCTCTCATCAAGGCATCCTCCTCCCAAACTGCTGCCCTCTTCCGTGAAAGCAGATTTCCTCACCTGCCCCACAGACACCAGGCCCTATGGCCCTTCGTAGAGGCAGCAAGTGAACAGACACCAGCCTATGGAGCTGCCTCCCTCTGGCTCCAGGCCAGCCCAGAGCTGCCTCGTTCTCTCCCCACGCCCACCAGGCTGGCCCAGCACCACCATGCCCACTTCACCGTGTTCCCTCCACGGTGGGTACACTGTCGAGGGAAAAACACCTCAGCCATACCATACCACAGACCCAGGACCACACGCTGTCCACACACACAGTCCACACGACACAGCCCCCCGGTGTACGCAGACAGACCCCTGTCACACACAGAAATGATCACAGAGAGATGCTGACACAAAGACAGGAACACACAATGCATATAACCAGATACACAAAGTCGCACAATGACACGTCTGCTGTCAAGCAGGAACACAGAGCACAGAGGCAGGAGGGATACCTAGACCTCTAAGCTGTGCAGTTACATTCTTAGGCACACCTACAGCTACTCAATGACACCCACCCCGATGCCACAGTCACCACGTCCCCATGCACTCCCACACGCACGTACAGGTACCCTGGAACGCCTGCATGCGCACACACACACCCTCACATCCATGTATCACTCAGGGGCACAACCAGCACCAGGTCACCCCCAATCCAGACACACGGATCCGAGGTGCACACACAGTCAATCCCACGCCTACTCCTGGGTCCTCCCTTCTCCCCCTCCCAGGGCTGATCCAAGAGTAGAACAAAAGCCCTGTGTCCCCTCCTCCCCTTCCCCCTTAACTCTCCTCTCTCCCTCCCCCCTCACCCCACCCCATCCCCCCACCCCCGTCAGCGTCCATCCCCTTTGTCCTCCTGCAGTTGAGCCTGAGCGGGAGTCCAGGCAGAGCGGCAGGGACATTGCGCCCAGGCTGTCAGGGGTGCAGGGCGGCAGGACAAACAGGAGTGGTCAGTGCACGAGCAGCAGCTGCAGAGAGCCTGGGAGAGGTCATGGCCAGGTAAGTGCCAGGTACATCTGGGGACTTAGGATGCAGGACTCCCCTGGCTGTGTCATGTCTACAAGTCTGAGTGTGTGTTTGTGGGTGTGTGTGACTGTGAAAAAGAAACAGGGTGGCATGTCAACTTCTAGGGGCTGGGTACCTCAGTCTGTGTCAGCACCCTTGGCCTGAGGTGCCTAGACTCTTAGCTGGGATAAGAGAAAACTAGATCAAGCCCTGCCTGGAAATTCCTACCTTTCATGTTCCAATGGGTTGTCCTTTGGCCCCCAGACTGGAAATCCCTAGGGTGGAAACTGGGTCTGATGTCCCAGTGTGTCCACAGTGCCCAGTGCAGGAAACAGCAGGAGAATGAATGAAAAAGTACTGGCGCACTCCCCAGGAGGGGACTCCCTCCCTCTCCCCTGGCAGCCCCTTGTGCCGGGACATCTCTGCAGAGAGAAGTCCCACCTGACGCTGATGAGACCTGCCCTCTTGGATGTCAGCTGAGAGTGGGCTGCCTTCTCAGCCAGTGGAAAATAGAATGAAGGCAGCATGCTCCCATGACCCCTATCAACTCCTTCCGGTGGTCCTGCGCTGCTCCCTGGGATACACCCCAACCTTGGCAAGTGTGGCTGAGCCGCTAGGCATGCAGAGTCCACAGCCAGGTGGGTTCAGGGCCCAGCCCCTCTACTTGGGCAAAGTAGTTAACTTCCCGGGACCCTGCCCATCAGGAAGCTCATTTCCTCTGATGCTAAGACAGGGGATTCACCACACTGGATGGCCCAGGCATAAACAGTGAAAGCCAGACTGACTCCTGGGCAAGATCTGACCTCCAGGGCAAAGCAGTCTCAGGGAAGGCAGAGCAGCTGGGATCAGGAGAATGGAGGGAGAAGCAAGGAGCAGAGAGCAGAGGTCTGCTCCCCTAGAGTAAGTTGCTACATAAAGGTGTGTACTCCTCGTCCCTGGAAGTATGCAAGCAGAAGCTGTATGTTCATAATGGCCAAATCATAACCAATCCGTTACAGCCCTTCAGGCTACAGAATGCTTTCACAAACACCCCTCCTTTGATCCTCACAGCAACCTCTGAAGGGCAGGTTCCATCTATGTGATTGTTTCCTCATGACAAACTCAAAAAAGAAGAGGGGAAGAAGTCTAAAGAAACTCTTCAGGTTTGTGAGGGTCAAATGAAATTACGTACATAAAAGCAACTAACACATGTGGTGTGCTCCCTTCCTCTTGGGTAAAAACATGTAAGGCAACATTTGTTGAGTTTGTACTGTATACCTAGCACTTTTCATACATTCCATTTCACAGTCAACAAGTCACCACAACCATGTGAGAGAGGCATTATGACCGCGTTTTAGATAAGGAACCTGAAGGGGAGCAACTTGAGCAGGTCACACAGCGAGTCAGGGGCAGAGGCAGGATTAGCACCCGGATCAGTCCTTAGAGCCAGCTCTTTCCACCCCCCCACAGGGCTTCCTTGAGAACAGAAAACTTACGAAAAAGGTCAACTTCCCTCTCAGCCTGGGCTCTAACCTCATGTCCTCTTTCCCTCTGGGCCTCTGCACAGGCTGTTCTCTCAGCTGGAGACTTCCTCCCTCCACTCCCTTGCCTTCACCTGGCTAATGCTACTTATCATTCTCAGTCTCCTAATGCTCTGTACTTCCCCATGGGACCCTGCCACACTGCGAGCTCCAGGAAGGCAGGGACTATGTCTTGTTCACTGACTGGCACAGAAAAGGCTCTCAATAAATACTAACTTAATGTATTCACTCGACCTACTATGGGCCAGATCCTGTACTCTTGGGGAGGGGCAGACATTAAATAGAATAATCAGGGTGTGGTCAACAGGGAGCACCTGTCGGAGATCCCAAGGAGAGTGGACGGGGTGAGGAGATGGGGGTAGAGTTATACCCCCCGCACATACTGGATCTCTGTGGGGTCGATTGAATTCCTTGACCAAAGGCTACAGCTCCTGTCAGAGGGCCCTCCTTATACAGATATTTTGTGCAGGTTCCAATAATCTCCCAGCCCTCCGCCTTTAGACCTTGGGGAGGTAAAGTCTCCCTGCTATTGGTAGCCATGTGGCACTGCTCTATCCCTTGTGGGAGTCCCAAAACACTGTCTATGCTTTTGTAAATCCTTCCTTTATTAGAATCTCCTTAAGTTACCCCATCTGAGAGCATGCCATCTGTCTCCTGCCAATACTGATAGGAAAAAGCTTAGCACGTCTGAAGAACAAAGAGCAGTATGGCTGATTGGGTAAGTGGAGGAGGAGGTGGTACAGCTAAGACAGGGTCTAGACCTTCAGGTAGGCTGGGACTAGCTCACTGAGGCCATTAGGAATCTTGACGGGGGGACGGAAGGAAGAGTGGTTGCATGAATGAAAGCACACTAGTTAAGATAATGCGAGCCTGCCTGAGTAAACCAGTGAACCAACGGAAGGAATGGTGGGTGAGAGGCCTCCTGCCCTCTAACCGGGCCCCAGCCAGGTGGATTTGCCGACGACGCGGTCTGTGTTCTCTGCCCGCAGGACGCTGGAGGGCCCGGTGCCGGAGGAGCCGGAGCTGGATTGGGGCTCCGAGGAGCCGTGCGCGGGGTCCTGCCACGCACAGCGCATCCTGCAGACCCTGAATGCGTATCGGCGGAGCGGCACCCTCACCGACGTGGTGCTACGTGCCGGCGGCCACGACTTCCCATGCCACCGCGCAGCGCTTAGCGCGGGCAGCACCTACTTCCGCAGCCTGTTCGCGGCTGGGCAGCCAGAGCGTGGCCTGGCTATGGTGCCCGTGGTACCCGAGGCGCCGGGCCCTGCCGGGACAGCGGTGGCGACGGCGCTGGCCGTGGTGCTCGACTACCTGTACGGAGCGGGCGTGCGGCTGCGCGCGGAGGACGAAGCGGCCGCGGTGCTGGCGCTGGCCGAGCGACTGGGCGTGGCAGGCCTGCGCGAGGCCTGCGCGCGCTTCCTCGAGGGTCGCCTGCGCGCCGCTAACAGCCTGGCGCTGCGTCGCGTGGCCGCTGCCTTCTCCCTTGCCTCTCTGGCCGAGCGTTGCGGCCGCGTGCTGCGCCAGGCCTTCGCCGAGGTGGCACGCCACGCCGACTTCTTGGAGCTGACGCCCGACGAGGTGGCAGCGCTTCTGGCCGATCCAGCGCTGGGTGTGGCGCACGAGGAGGCCGTGTTCGAAGCGGCCATGCGCTGGGTGCGTCACGACCCGCCAGCCCGCCGCGGACAGCTGCGGCGCTTGCTGGAGCACGTGCGCCTGCCCTTGCTGGCGCCCGCCTATTTCCTGGAGAAGGTAGAGGCCGACGAGTTGTTGCAGGCCTGCGGTGAGTGCCGCCCGCTGCTGCTAGAGGCCCGTGCCTGCTTCATCCTGGGCCGCGAGACCGGCACACTGCGGGCCCGGCCGCGGAGGTACGCCCTGCCCCCTCCCTCCCAGCTGCCCCTTGCCTCCTGCCCTGCGTTATTTCCTATGTTATTCCCTTGTTCAACCGCTCTCTCAGTCCGCCATCATCCTTTAATCCTATCACTTGATCATGCCTCTTGAATGAGACTGTCATACATACAACAGACATTTCATAGGCTTGGTGCTGGGTCCTTAAAGAGTTCACAGTCCAATGGGGGAAATGCAGGGATCTCACATCTCGTGCACATTCTGCCTCAGTGCGGACTCAGGAGTGATTTGGAAACACCCTTTACCCTCAGGGAACACAGTCTAGTAAGGGGTATAAATAGGCAGGGCTTGGGGGAAAAAAAGAAAGGCTTATTCCCACCCCTGGAACACCAGACCAGAAGACTTCGGGTGGAGTAGTCAAGATGGTCTGTCACCCTCACAGGAATAAGGGACAGACTCTGTCTTACTCATCACTGTATCTCCAACAGTAAGCTCAGGGCCTGGTGCAAGATGTTCAATATTTGTCAAAGGAATTAGGTAGGAATTGGCTAAAGGGTTTGGAAACTCTGGTGGGGTCAGTGGGAGGGAGAATGATTTGCTGAAAGGGCGTGTAGCCTGGTTCAATGGATTCAGTGATTAGGGGATAAGTTTAGGAGATGGTTATAGGAGGAGGGACACAGCAAAATTAGTCCACGATGGAGGTCAGAAAAGGGTGAAGAGAATGAGTTAGTGGCACACCAACTTGGGCTTGAATTCCACCTCTGTCTCCTACAGCTACATGACTTTTGCAAGCCAAAGTCAGGATTAAACAAGGTGATTTTTCTAGGTAAGGGTAAGGACTCTGTAAAGATTCTTTTCTTGTAACTTAGAGGTCAGTAGAATGGGGTAAGGAGTAGTGCCCCTCTTCCCCTCAATAGCCAGAGGGGAGGCTGAAAGTGGCAGAGTCCAGCATGCGGAGGGTGGGGAGCAGAAGCGCACGGAAGGGCAGCAGGACCATACAGTGCAGTCCATGAGCGGGTGAAATAGGGCTGAAACACGGGTGTGGGTTAACCGGCATTGGGCTTGTCCCCACGCCAGATTCATGGACCTAGCTGAAGTGATCGTGGTCATCGGCGGTTGCGATCGCAAGGGGCTCCTTAAGCTGCCGTTCGCCGACGCCTACCATCCCGACAGCCGACGCTGGACCCCACTGCCCAGCGTGCCCGGCTTCGCGCGCTCAGAGTTCGCGACCTGCACTCTCCGCAATGACATCTACGTCTCTGGTGAGGGCGGAGCCATAGCCGGAGTCCCACAGGATTGGCTCATCACTTCCCGTGCGCCGCCCTCTGTTCTTCCCTCCAACCAGGCTATAGGAGCAGATCGGTCCTGATAACCTACAGTTACTGGCTGAGGTGGTACTGCAGAGCCAATCACTGGTGTGACTCCACCCTTGCAATGTTGACTTCAACTCAGATTAGTACTCATCACTTCTCTTTAGCCTAGCATGTGCTGTGCATTATGCTAAGCAGCTTACATTAGTTATTTAATTCCCATTACAACCCAATTTTATAGGGAAATTAAGAATTTCCCCTGTTGTCTTGACAGTGGCAAAGATCGGTTTGATACCAATGGATGGTGCCCGCCCTGAGATTCGAGCCCTAGAGGCTCAGAGAATAAAACAGTCCCTGCTACCCTGGGGATAGCAAGAGGGCCTGGGAACAACAGCTGCTTCTCTCTCCCTAGGAGGCCACATCAACAGCCGTGATGTGTGGATGTTTAGCTCCCATCTGCACACCTGGATCAAGGTGGCCTCACTGCACAAGGGCAGGTGGAGGCACAAGATGGCGGTCGTGCAGGGGCAGGTAGGGACACCCGGCAGCTGCTGCCTTGGGCTCAAGGTAGAGATCTATGGACTGACGGGGGGAAGTCCCTTTACAATCCGCTCTCTGTAAGAAGGGATCTGAGGCCCCCAAAAGAAAAAAGGACTTGCCCGAAGTTGCATAATGATGCTAATGCTAATAATGACAGTAATTACTGTAATAGTACAGCCTAGTAGCCGGTGGTCAAGGGTGTGCGCGCTCTGGGGCCGACGAGCCTCGGTTTGAATCTTGACTCTGTCACTTAAGACCAAAAAGAAAAAGGAAAAATAAAATCTGCCAATTATCTTTGCAAGCTACATCCCTAATGCAGAAATGCAAATAAAAGTGCTTCTTAGGATCACTTAAGTAAGGTGGTAAACCTTTAAGAAATTAGTAGGTATTTTTATTAAGCATCAACTTGGTGCCAGTTATTTTACAGATCTAATCTGTATTCAACACCCATCCTACAAACCAGTATCATCCGGTTAGTACAGGAAAATCTGCTAAGGGAGGTTCAATTATGGGGAGTCAGGACGCGGAGCCAGGAGCTGGGATGCGCCCCTGGTGGGATAGTTTCTCCACACACAGCCAGAGGCTGTGGGGCCGAGACGCAGACAGCCCTGACTCTTGGCGACCCCCTCATCCACAGCTGTTCGTGGTGGGCGGCTTCGACGGCCTGCGGCGCCTGTGCAGCGTAGAGCGCTATGACCCCTTCTCCAACACCTGGGCTGCTGCGGCCCCGCTCCTAGAGGCAGTGAGCTCAGCTGCCGTGGCACCCTGCGCCGGCCGGCTCTACGTGATGGGGGGCGCCGGGCGGGACGGCGTCAACACCAACAAGGTGAGCTGGGAGAGGGCGGTGGAGGCCTGCTGTGTGCCTGGCGCAGAGCTGGGCCTTTCATGTCCTCGTCCACGCACTGAGGAGTCATCCCCATGTTTCAGGCAAGGAAATGAATTCAGAGATGACCCAAAGGTCACACAGTAGGTCTGGACCCGAATGCTTGGGCTGGTGCCACATGGGTTTCAGAGATCTAAAAAATTAAGTGAGGGCAAGGGTGGGACTAGTTAAAATGCTTTTCCTCCATTCCAAAATACAATACACTTGGGACTTCCCTGGCAGTCCAGTGGTTAAGACTCTGCACATCCACTGCAGGGGGCATGGATTCGATCCCTGGTCGGGGAACTAAGATCCCACATGCCACGTGGTGTGGCCAAAAAAAAAAAAAAAAAAAAAAACACTCATTATTGAAAATTTAGAAAACAGAGAAATAGAAAAAAACATCATCCATAATCTCACCACCTAAGGATAACTACTACCATTAATATTTGGTGCAATGCCTTCTAAGCTTCCTCTGGGTTGACTTTTGCTTTTGTTTTAGTTTTAGTAAAATTTTGTATTCTGTTTTTTCTTGTTCCAAGTATAAGCACTTTCTACATGCTTAGAAACTCTTCACAGCCATCATTTCAATGTCTGTGTAACAGTCAATGGAGTGGATGAATCACAGTCTACCAAATTTTCTATTGTACATTTAGGCTTTCTGTGAATAAAAACTGATCTTCGTTGTGGCAGCTCCCTCCCCACCCTGATGGCCTCACAGGCATGTGATCCCGAGATCTGACTCTTTCCCAAACTAGGGTCTCTCACCCTCCTCATTCCCCCTCCACTCCCAGCACACCTTCCTGGGCTGGCTGGGGGAATGCCCTTTAGCACCTTCTTGTGCAGCACTGACATGAATAGGCCATTCTGGGGGTTTCCAAGGACACAACTGAGGAAGTAGGGAGTAAGGTGAGCAGGCAACTACAGGTATGAACCCTCAGAAATTGTAGGCGTCATAAACACCTGTGAGCCTAGGAGGCCTGTGGACAGCTATAGAAATGGGGGCTGCGAGACATCCCAGCTGGAATCTGGTCATGACCTCAGCACACCAGGGAGGAAGAGGGTTGACAGTATATGCAGCCAGGAATGCATCTCCATGGGGGACCTGCTCTGAGAACCCATGCAGACGGTATCTCCACCTCCTGGGATACAGACCTCTTCCTGGACCTTGAAAGATGAGAAGGCTTTTGACAACGGCAGTCCAGGGGGAGGAGCTGGAATGTGGAACCAGACTGAGCACACGTGAGGGGAGACACACATGCTCAGGCCTGGTGGACACAGGCATATGTGTTGAATGAGTCCCCTTGACTGAGAGAAATAGGAGGTGTGGGCAGCAGGGCAGTTGAGGGGCAAGGCTTCACCTCTGCCACTCCTTCCTCTCAGGTGCAGTGCTTTGACCCCAAGGAGGACCAGTGGAGCCTGCGGTCACCAGCGCCCTTCTCGCAGCGGTGTCTCGAGGCTGTTGCCCTGGAGGACACCATCTATGTGGTTGGGGGCCTCATGAGCAAAATCTTCGCCTACAACCCTGGCATGGATGTCTGGGGGGAGGCAGCTGTCCTCCCCAGCCCTGTGGTAAGTGGAGGGGCCTGGGCACAGCCCTGGCACTGGTTCCATTTAGGAGTAAAAACCCACTTCTAAGGATCTGGTTCTCAGAGGTACTGAGTCCTGTGTCTGACTCCATGCTAGGCGGTTTTACTAGGCGGTAGTTCTCTAGCTTTGTCCCACAGTGATAATCAGCCTTGGGCTTCAAAGATAAGGAGACTGGCCTTAGAGAAGTTGAGGCCATCAGTTAAAGCCATGTACGGCAGAACCTAGAACCCCAGTCCCAAGTGCTAGAGCTTTGGATGGGGGGCTTGGTCTCAATGACCCTGCAGTCTCTCCTGATCTGTAGGCCACCAGGTGGTAGCTTACTGTTGGAGGAGGGGGGAGAATGGAGAGGGGACTTGGTAAGTTTCCCTTGCCTCAGTGATATCAGAGAAGGGAGGTCTAGGCCCTGGACGTTCCACCCCTGCATTTCTTGCCTCCCGGCACTGTTCTGTTCCCTCTCCAAAGAGACTATATAGGGGTATGGATGGATTGGTGATCCCTGCCAGTTCTGACCTCCAGTGATTCTAAGAGCCTGAGATTTCTGGCTTCTCTGAGTCTGGTGGTAATTATTATTGGAGTGCTTACTATATTTCAGGCACTATGTAAAATGCTTTACATGCTTAATCTCATTAACTGTTAAGGGAACCTTATGAAGAAGGTACTATTATTCTTCTTACTTTGCAGATGAGGAAACTGAGGCCCAGAGAGGTGAAGTGACTTGTCTAAGGCCATTCATTTAGTAAGGGTCAAGCCAGAGCTTGAAGTCAGGTCCACCCAATTCTTACCTCTTTACCTTCCAGACTGCCTACTCATATTCTGTGGGTCAAGGTTTTGTTGTCTGGCCTGGCCAGCTAGGGACAGAGGGAGCTCCCGGCTGGACCCTATAGCTAATTGTCTTTCTGTCTGTCCACCCAGGAGAGCTGTGGCGTGACTGTGTGTGATGGGAAAGTCCACATCCTTGGCGGGCGGGATGATCATGGGGAAAGCACCGACAGGATCTTCACCTTTGACCCCAGCAGTGGGCAGGTGGAGGCCCAGCCATCCCTGCAGCGCTGCACCAGCTCCCATGGCTGCGTCACCATCGTCCAGAGCCTGGGCAGGTGACTCATACTTGAACCAGGAGGTGGGGAGGGGAGGGAGAACTCAGGTTCACCACTGCTCCCCTCATGGCACCTCGGTGTAAACAGCCTCTTAGCTTACTGCCCCTTTTCTTGTAGAAATAAAACCTCCTTCAAAGGTTGGATCTGTGTTCCAGCTCAAGCCTCCTTTGCCTGGAGAAGTAATGCCCAGTATCTGCTCCCTGCTTTGACTCTTTACAAAACACCTTCATATGTTATTACCTCGTTTACCGTCATAATAGCAGCGTGGACATTTTAAAAAATTATGAAATATTTCATGCATAAAAAGAATATATTTTGTATAGTTTAAGAATTATAATAAAATAAATATGTGTTTCCACGACCTAGCTTAAGACATAGATCACTAGCTTAAGAAATGCCTTTGTAGGCCCCTCTATTTCCAAACCCATCCCTTCGCACGTTCCTCCCAAGAATTGTCACTATTCTTAAATTTCAGATTATTGGCACTTAAAAAAAAAAACTTTTAGTGAGCTAGTTACTAATATCTGTATTTTACAGAGAAGCAACTGATTTTAAAAGATAAGGAGACTCACCCAAGGCCACATACTTAGTAAGAGGCAGAATCTATGACTCATAGATTCCATGAAGCTTTAGAATCTATGAGACACTTCTGGCCAGGATGGTTCTCCCTTTCTAAACCACCCTCTCCAATTCAAACACCTATAGCAATGATAGATAAAATTAAAAGCCAGACAACTGAGGCATAGGCTTGTAAGTAAGCAAACATGTCTGAGGACCAGAAACAGAATTGTAAAACATAAGGCAGAAGCTCAAGCTTCTAAATTCAGATTCTGGGATAAAGGCTTTAAAACCAGGATGACAAACCAGGATCACTGCTAGAAGCCTGGGCCAAGGTGGGGCTCCCCCGCTCATGAAAGAAGCTGAAACAAAACAGAACAGTTGTAGAACCCTGAGCAGCCTCGGGGGTCAAGACTCGCAGTAAACTGGAGGCCCCCGGTAGTGGGCATCAGAGCCACAGGCCTCTAAGACACCAATGAGCCCAGCTTTGCACCTGGATGTGTGAGATCCCCAACATCAACGTGGGGTACAAGCTCCTGATGCCATTATAAGTGCCTGGGTTGGTCTGGGGCTGAAGGGCAGCAACATAAAACTGCTGGGTCGGGAGGGGTGAACTCAGTAGAAAGAGAGGGAACAAAGGACTGATGCCACAGACTCTGTGAATCAAGGCCCAGCGGTTCAGATTCTGTGCCTGTATTTCTGAGGCCCAGAGGAGCTAGCCAGGCCCCACCTGGGGCTCCCCTTATTTGCACTCAGATTGCCTTCTGAAGAGCTGTCATCTGCTCCTCCATCTCCTCCAGCACAGGGCCAGCACTAAGCCCCTAGCCATCTTCCAAAGCCCCAGGGCCCTGTCTGCGGGATCTCTCCAGCTGGGGCTGACCCATCACAGAGCAGCATAAAGGCCCGGGTCCCAGCTGAGCTCCTACCCTCCGATTATCTCAGATTAGGGAGCCTGTGACCATCTGGACACAGCTGATAATGGCAGAGGGGGAGGGGAGTGGGGTAGAGGCCCAGCCTCAGAGCCTTCCTGCTCCCACCCCATGCACAACACCCAGGACAAAGCAAAGGTGCTGTACTGCTTGCTTACCCAGGCGAAAGCCGGAGTGGAAAGGGTAGGGGCAAATCCAGGGCAAGCTCTCCCCAGAGACATGGGCATCTTACCCAGGCTCAGCACTTCTGTGTAGCCAGACAGATTGCCCAGTTTCCCCCATGATGGCCATTTGTGCCCCAGTGCTTGCTCATGCAAGTGCCAATGCCCTTTCCTGCTCTGTCTGCCTGGGCAGACCTGACACCATACACCCAAGAGCTGACCACTCCCTCCCTGTACCCCTTCCTTATCAGCCCTTCTTCCATCACCTGACATACGGCCAGGCCTTCGTGTGACATCTCTGGTCTCTCCTGACACACCCATAGGATGCCTCTTGAGGCAGGAAAGGTGTCACCTTCATCTCTGGGTCCTCCAGTGACTGGAACAAACCCTTCCACTGAATACCTTAAATCAAGGTTTCCTGGATTTCTATCTCATAATACCTGTGAGGTAGTTACTACTGCTCCCCTCCCCCCCTCCCACCTCCGATTACAAATGAGTAAACAGACTCAAGAGTTGTGAAGTGACCTGCTAACTAAGGTCACAAGGCTGGTGAGTGGTGGCAGAGCCAGGATTCCAACTCGGGTCCAGCTATCTCCAAAGTCTGCTTCCTCCATGCAGCCTCTGCTAATCTGAGAAAATGGTGTGGGGCACAGCAAAGCAGTTGTTTAGAAGTAGGAGATACATCATTTCCACGTGGGAAATTCCAGCTTGACAGGATACTGTCCCTGACCTTCTGGGCTCCCGACTTGATGAGACATGGTGCTTGTTCCTGGTGAGTGAGGCTCACAGGAACACAAGCAAAAGGTGACAGCCACGGGTCCTAATTACAAGGACTACTGGTTAGACCGAGACCATATACAGAGGATCCCCCTGGCTCCTAGTCCACTGCTCTCTGGCACCCCAGGCTGCCTGCTGAATGTGAACTGTTACCATTCAGTTCAGAGGGAAGCCAGATAAGTCCATGACCCCTTAGCCACACACGGATTTGCCATCTTCTCACCGGCTGAGAACAGAGACAACTCTTGGTATGCAATCAGAAAATGATGAACCCAAATTTAATTTTTGAGTTTCTTTTTTGAGTAGATCTATTTGTAAAGATTGATATTTTATGACTGTAATTCTTTCTTAGCGGGCTTTCAAAGAACAAAGAACAAGGAGAACTTTACTTCTTACATAATAGAATAAAACTTTCTATTTTGTAATCACTATATGGACTTGTTGAATTCTTTTATAAATCTGAAACATATCCATGCTGTATATGCTACCCACCCATTAGTACAGGAAAAAACATAGTATATGTAGAGTTCCCTACTATCTGCGGTTTTAGGTAACCCCTGAGGTCTTGGAACGTATCCGCTGCAAATAAGGGGGGACTACTGTATTAAGTTGTTCAAGAGGAAAGATTTCATCACACAATTCTTTGTGACAAAAACCTGGACTATCCCATTTTGCTCAAAGACAATGTGACAGTATGTATCTTTTATGATGACTATGCCCCCAAATTTACTTGGTAGTTTGTTACAGTTCATAGAGACAAGCTGAAGGCAGCTGTACATAAAGATGAGTGGAGAAAAACAGATGCTGTAGGAGTTTTTAAAATTCATTGGTCATCTGAATTGACCTTTATAAATCTAAAAGTGAAAATGTTTTAAAATTATGAAGCAAAGAAAATGGCTATCCTCTCTTCAACAAAGTTATAAGCAACCAATTTTTTTTTTTTTTGGCAGTACGCGGGCCTCCCTGTTGTGGCCTCTCCCATTGCGGAGCACAGACTCCGGACGCGCGGGCTCAGCGGCCATGGCTCACAGGCCCAGCCGCTCCGCAGCATGTGGGATCTTCCCGGACCAGGGCACGATCCTGTGTCCCCCGCATCGGCAGGCGGACTCTCAACCACTGCACCACCAGGGAAGCCCCAACCAAAATTTTTTAAGGCACTGCATGTTGACAATCCAAGTGTAATACAAAACAAAACCAAAAAAGCCCCAGAAGCTAGAGCTTGTTAGAGATGTATTTGAAATCTGGAATCAGCAGCTACAAGATGAATACCTTCACTTCATGGCAGCTGATAAACATTTCACTGCCTTCAAGTAACATTGCTCATTTGGGGTATATATCCTTCTAGACAATGAAAATGTGAAGTTGTTTGCTGTTATAACTCATATGTCTACGTATGTATACACATACAAATATATGTATATATGACAGCTCTACTGAGATACAATTCACATACCATAAAATTCACCCATTTGAAGTTTACAATCCAGTGTTTTTAGTATATTGTTATGCTGTTAATACTTGCTAAATTTTAAATATTTTGGATACTTGTTAAAATTTATCATAAAATTGACTTTCACTTTTCCTTTATTCTTACAGTGACTTAAAATATAAAAGGGGGGTGTTTATGGGCCCAGGTGGTAAATAGTGATGGCTATTTTTTCTGGTATATTAAGGGTAAAATCAGTGAGTAAAAGATCCATTTCCTCTGGTCCCCCTCCTGATGGGAAAGCAGCCCCCCTACAGTACCTATGCTCTCCCTTCCCCTCCCTCTGTAAAGCAAATACATTATTAAAGGTTACGGGAGCCCTACCCTCTCTCTAGGCAATTTTGGATTTTAATGGCTCCAGCTTCTCTGGTTCACCACACAAAGGACTGTCGGGTGCAAGCTCGTCATGGGGGCAGTCAATGGCTTGCCAGTGAGGGCAGGATGAACCCATCATAGCTGTCCTCACCAGAGGACAAAGGCCCAGCTGCACCTGGCCGGCTGAACTATTAGTGCAATACAGGACTGAGCAGCAGAAGTGTGGTTTCATTTGAATTTCAGAACTACAGGTCTCCATCTTTTTTGTTGTTGTAGAAATAAGAGTTTGGGATCAGATAAGTTGTTGCCAATCTAGGATCTCATGTTACTTGTTCTCAAATGAGAAGTGGTAATCTCTCTGAGACAGTCTAAGTACAGCTGACCCATGAACAATATGGGTTTCAACTATACCGGCCCACTTATATGTGGATTTTTCTCAATAGTAAATACTATAGTACTGAACTACCCGGGGTTAGCTGAATCCACAGATGCTGAACAGCAGATATGGAGGAACCGCATATACAGAGTTGACTGTTAAGTTAGGGTCTGCACCCCTGATGCCCCCATTGTTAAGGGTCAAACTGTATTTTCCAAAGCCTAAGATGTATTGCATGGGTTAATCAACACTGCTATAAAATGAAGTTAGTAATAGAATCTGCCCATAACAGGGATGTTGGGAAGATTAAATGATACACCCACAGCAGGCTCAGGGCATATAATAATCTATAACAATAATCTCCTCACCATGGTCATGCTGCTTATCAAGTTATAAATGTAGCTTTGATTAGTAACAAATAGAGAAATGGCTTAATAGCCATTTCATAAAATAATGTCAAGATCTCATGTCTCTTAGGGAGAAAATAGTAAGAAAAACTATCTTCTGAGACAGAAAATGTTGACTATCAACAATACCTAAATGTTTTCTTGGTCTGATGTTGACAGGCCTTACTGACATACAA